TAGGTACATGGGATAAGGCGGAGAGTGTCTTGCGACATAAATAGTAAAACTACATTGAATTTGAACAAACTTTGATATTGTTCCAGAAAGTTTCAAACAAGTTTTACTGAATGTAGTTTTTGCCTAGGTGTTTTGTATATGCCAATAAAGGTTTTGATTGATTGACCTTGTATTATACAGACCCTGTCTCTTTAAGAAACAAGTTTCAATTACAACAATCTTGGTTTCCTTTAAGATCCAAATTGGACTGGATGGGTGAAACCTGTTCTGATTTCTATTGTGAACCTAAAGTGTTAATTCTTTATATAGCAGTCTCTATAGGCATGTAAAATATAAAATACACATAGTTAAGCTGGTTTGTTAGGATCAGGGCTTTGCCTCCTAACAATTGACTCAAGGGAAACAGCTACTTATAAAGCAGATTAATATGAAAACAGGTAGCAGTGTACTATAATAATGAGTTAAGAAACCTGATAAGTATATCAGACTAAGATATTTGGCCCTCCTTTGAATAATCTACATTCCTGTACCACCTTCTGGGAGTTTTTTTTAAAAAGCATGTTAACTGAAAATTGCATCATACTTCAAACATGTTACGGCATGACCACACCTGACAGATTTCTCTTATCAGGGTTGTGTGTAAGCCTTTGCATCCTAAAATGCTTCTAGGTCTGCATGGTCACCTGTCTCTGGCTACAACAACACTTGCTAGCTGAATTGGGTTTGCTTGATTCACAGTCTATTTTACTCTTCTGTTCAGATTAGGTGATCACATGGAGCCTTGATCCTGGCCCTCTGCTGATCCCAGGCTCTCCTTTTATGGTTTGTTGTTAAGCCAGTGGGCTCTTTAAAGAGTTGCACAGCAATAGGGAAAAGGGACAGCTTTCCAGTCTTTTAACTGATCTTCACTTATCTTTAATCAATTACAGGGTTCTATTCATTTTCAATAGGAGTAGGGCTGTGGATACAGGGGAATAAGGGGGGGGGGAATGAGTAAGGATGGGGAAAGGGTAAAATTCCAGAGAGTGAAAGAGTATTCTTACATCCACTTACTTAGTTATGCTAAAAAGGGAAATTACACAAGTAAACAATATAACATTTTTTTTCCAGAATATCGTTACTACTCTCTCCTTATCTTTATTGATAGCATCTTAAATTGAAAATTTATCTTGAGTACATCTTCATTTTGCATGCTACAATTTTGTCAAACCATGACAATCATTTTTTTTTTAATTTTCAAACTTATTGTTAATCATTTTTTCTGTATTTCAATATTCTCCTGTTCAATTCCTTCTGGATTAGCTGGGATATTTATACCTAAATTCTTTCAAATATTAACATCCATTTCTTTTCTATTTTTTCTCTTCCCTCTTTGTTATAGTTAAACACCATCATCTCTGATGTATACCAATTTATTTGTAACAGTTATCTCTCCAAAATCTTTTAGATATAATTTCACTCTCTCTGTAACCTTTAAAGGGTTTTCTATTATTCTATCATATTGTCAGCGAATAAACTAATTTAACTGTATCTTTAATATAGTGGGGTCTTGACTTAAGAACGGCTTGAGTTAAGAACATTTTGACTTAAGAACCTCTCTCATAGGAAAATATTGACTTGACTTACATACTTAGATTTGAGTTAAGAACTGAAAAAAACCACGTGGGAGACAGGGAAAGTGTAAAATTTGAACTTTCAGTTAACTGTTGGCCAGTGAAAAGGGTGCCTGTCTGCTTCCTCACTCCTCCCAGCGTTTAGAGAGTGGATTGGGAGGCTTCAGACTGCCTGGTACTGCCTGGACTGTATTTTCCCTGCGTTCCCTGAACCTTTCTTGACCTAAGAAAAAAAGAAACAAAATATCCCCCTCTAGTGGTCGAAGGCAGAATAGCAGCTTCCCATTAGTTTCTATGGACGGAAAAGAGCAGATACGGATCAAATGGTTTTCAATGCATTCCTATGGGAAATGCAGATTTGACCTGAGAACTTTTTGACTTGAGAACCGCCTTCCAATACGGATTAAGTTCTCAAGTCAAGACCCCACTGTACCAGCATCTAATATCTTGTTAACTTCTCTAGTGTCATTCACTAGAGCATATTTGTCCAGTACCTCAGCCTAGAGAGATTGGTTCCCTTCATTTATTACTGCTGCAGTATTCTCTAAATATAATTGATATATTATTCCTTTAAAACATTTACCAAAACTTAATACCTTTATTATTATTTTTAATAATATGTTGGCCATTCCACACAATCAACCACCAGTATAGGCAGGACTCAGGGAAAATGGGAACACTTGTGCACATCTTTCACCTCAGATTTATACTCACTAAATCTTTTAATGGAATACATCTGATCCTGGAATGTCAGGTAAAGTGACTTTTTGATATTATTGCAGTGAACATCATAGTAATACATTTTGGCTGAGTCTCCATAATAGTTGATGCAATGCCCTATGAGATAAGACAGAGTAAGCAATATGTGGTCCATGCTCCACATGTGACCTCCAGTGCTTAAATGATTCCTCTAGCATCCTTCTCCAAAAATTGAAGATTTTTAAAATTAAAAATTTGTTTCAGACACCTCCCTTGCTCCAGCTGGAAGGTGTAAGGGGAAATTTTGGCATATTTTAAGACTCTTCACCACTCCCCCATCAATTTTTTTCATTTAACGAAATTGTCCACTAGAGAGTGCAAGAGGGCCTTTTCTTTAGCCCTATCCCTCCCATTTTTGTGAGTGGGGGTGGAAGAGCAGGTGTGGCCTTCCAAGGTCCAGGGCTGAATATGAATAGATCATCCACCCTTAGATGAGGCTTC